GTTTTTATGCACTGACATGCTTAATGTAGCTAAGTATTCAACGATGACGTCATCAGCGAGATGGAGTGTATCTAAAATCATGAATTTGTAAAATCGGAGTTCACAAATTTGCGGTTTCGCTGTACAGCCTTATCAGTTTATTTGAGATCTACCCAGGTTTCAATTGGCAGGTAACAATTTTTCAATTTAAGTCTTGTGTATCTAGCTTGTGTGATTATTGCATTGGGACGCGTACAAAAAGTTGCAAGAGCCAATGGCCTAATAGATAAAGAGCAATTTAAACAAAAACCACTGAGATTTCTAAGCCAGAGGCTGCAGACACAAGAGACAACACTAGTTTCCTGTACATTTATTTCAAGAATGTATTAAGTTTAAAATGAACGTTAAGGTTCATAAAACCCAATTTAATCAACATTAATCATAAAACTTCAACCTGTCAATTCACAAAGTATCACATCATTTAAACATGTTAATTACAATTTAGAAACATTTAGAAATTATATAACACAGTTTTTCAAATCACTCAAGCATGCTATGCAGACGGCCAAGGTCAGTAGAGTTTAAACATCTATCCGCATTGATAATAGCCAATCATGTACTGTACCATACTTCCAGTCTGTTGTTCGCAAAGCATCGACTAGTTTTGCAGACATCTCACCCATACCCAGGACACTTACCAGGTGGGTCATAGCTCACTATTTTTACATCTTTTTCTGGTGAATGCGAATGAAGCTTGCCAAGTGTTGAATAAAATATCACAAGTTTGTAGGAATATTTATAGCGAGCTAGGATTCATGTAAACAACAGCTTTATTATCACTACTGATGAAAATGGTAACGAAGTAATTAACTAAAGGATTATCGTAGTAAACTGTAAATTTGATCAATGTCACAATGGAGGTAGAACCATTTATTTGATATTTTCAAATCTTTTATAAAAGCGTATGTTCCAGACTTTACCATGTACGGGATATTTTTAAGGTGTTGTACTACGGTATGTGTCTACTGGTTTTCAATTACCAGTATCTCCATCACCCGAGTACTATTGCGACTAAAGGTTATACAGCAGTATCTTAACTAAAAAATCTATTTTAAAAGCAATACAAAACTATGGAACTGAATAAAATGATTTAGATTAGAAAATGCATGCAGAATACCACAATTAACAAGTTCATGATGAACACAAGAATGTTCATCCTTCCATCAATACTATAAAATTGCTTATGTACCTTGTTAGTGATATCACTATGGTGCACAGTAAAATATTGTCCCCCATCTTCTTTTACTAAAGTACCTGTATCTCAACACAATGGCATGCATTTCGATACTTGGAGTATGTATTATATTATCTTGTATCTCAATTCAAGAGCAACTTTAAAAACTGAACATAGTAACTTCATTAAATTTACCTAGTCTGACAAAAGGAATTGCAATTAATCATAAGGCAACAATTGTTATACCATAATTACATGCCTATGTTAACAAGCCATGAAATGCTTTACTTCTATCTGGATATCTAGAAATAATTTATGACAATATTGTAATGAGCAAGTTAAGATTTCTGGTGTCAATATCATATTGATTATGATTTTGTTTTGTTGTTAAAGATGAATGCAATGACAAAAGCAATGCTGATGGTGGTGGGCAATGACGATGACCAATGACGACAAATATGACTGGATGACAATGAATGTTGTCAATAGTGATGACACGATAATGATGGTTACTGAACTGTACTGTGTATTATTATTGATAATGACTATGATTATGTAAATTAAGCCTATACATATGCTCTAAATTTTCCATGCTGATTTTTGTTAATCCGAGATTAAAAAACATATTAATACTGAAAATAACATTTTGCAAATGATACTGTACTGCATAGAGTATTATTCATAATTTTTTTTTCATGAACCAATGATTTAACATTATGACGTAGGTGTGGTTGCTAGATTTTGACCTCAATCTGTTGACCTCAATCTGTTGACCTCAATCTGATTTTACTATTAAATTCCTAAAATGGGGTTTCCCATTTTAAAAGATTACCTCAAATATATAGCTGTAAGCCACTATATTTCAGATCATAGTTTTGGAATTTCTTTCCCCCAGTTAAGGTCAACTGTGTTAATTCACAAGACCCAAGAGCTTTCCATTTGCGATGACATACAGTAGAACGTAACGACATGTTAATTTAACTGCGCATGTCTGCACGAGTCTACAGTAGGTTCAGGCCAGTACGAGGACTGTATTGTATTAAACATCGGTGTGTCAGTCTTTGCGTTTGTGACATCTCTACGCACACGTCGTAAAATCGATTTACAGTAGAATGTACACGACGACAGTTATGGATGAGTGAATTCGTTGTACATTCTCCATCAAAAGCTCCCTAATAAAGCTCTGTTGGTATTACAGGCAAAATGTTAAAATTGAAAGGTCAGTTTCTATTACTTCTCCAAGGAGTATTTTCGGAGCCTTGAGTACTGCTCCAGTGGATTTGTGTGCTTTATAAATAATATTATTATTACAGTTAAACTTGCCCGAGTCGACTTTGCCTAACTCAAAGTCGAACTTACTTGACTTGCCAAATTGTTGTGCTTTCCATTAATTAACAATCTGTAAATTTTATCTAAGTCAACAAGTTCTCAATGGCATTTTGGATTCGACTTAGGCAACTTTAACTGTATTATTATTATGCTCGGATTAACAAACATTAACATGAAATATGAGAATGATTTTAATAAAGAGTAACTAATAATTGAGTTAACTAAGTTATTGATTGCAATGACGTTGTTGGTTAGGGCTCGATACTACTGTATATAAAATACGATGATGATACCAATTACCAGAAAAAACATTCTACCCGCAGATACCATAGCACATATAAAAGTGTTACATAAAATTAGACTATAATCTCAAAAGACATCCTCTTTCGAGAAACACACTACTGTCATCAATGTATTGTGAAAATGCAATCTGTATTCTCTTAGTATAGTAGTAAATTCAGTGTAAAACATAATAATATACTGTACTTTATATGAATAATACAAAAATGACACGTAGAGAAGAAAGATTAATATTGATTGATCATCATCCTGTATAATAACTATTATACTAAAGTATTTATAACAACCATCATTCATTCAATTAATATTCAAGTTTTTATTTTTTTATATATTTTTGTGAATCACACCCACTTCCTCTGAAGAAATATCAAGATATAAGAAATTATACGGGGAAGGAAGCAAAAATATTAGCATAGCTACTGTAATTATATTTATCCTGATTACTCTACAGTATATTATACAACCCAAAAGATTAACATACTATTTCTGAATCATGCCACAACTTATAACACACAGCCACTTCTTTTTTTTTTATTGAGAAGTAATTTCACTCTAATGAATAATTAATGCATCATATTAACCTCTATTGCAAACACAGACATGTTCAGTCTAACTATGAATTTACTGAAAATCCTGCTATTTAAATGACTTGTTAATATCTATTTAAATTACTCGCTACTACATGTAATTAAATTATCCGAGTCAATGAGCTACTCAAAAATAGATCAATGTAAAATGTAATTTCTGCACACTACAGTTTTGACTATTTATTTCTCCAAAATATTATTATAAGCTATAGGAAAAATATAAAATCTCATTTTAATTATGGGTATTGCTAAAAATAAATGTCCTCAACATATTTTGTTCAAAACTGGTTGTATGTGGGATTAATGAATACAATAATAAATGTAATCAGCAAAAAAATAAAAACATTTAACTTAATATTTATCAAAAAGGAGATAACGTGCAATGCATTTATTTCCGAACAGAACATATAGTACATAGCAATATAGTGTACTTCATTAGTTATAATTCCTAAAAATATTAAAATATCTATAAGAGCTTATTTTGCCATTCACCCCCTTCAGTAATATACTGTACAATAACATGTCCCTTACTGGGTTATTTTTTGTTTGTTGTTGCATAGCAACAGTAATAAAAATGCAAAGCAAATTGAGATATGATCTGCCATTGTGATAAAAGTGTGATTTTTTTTTTTCTTTTCAACATCTAACAGCCAATTACAGGTTGCAAATATCACTATACCCTCACAATGAGTCTGAGGGAGTGGAACTGTGTTTGTCGGAAAAAATCCTGGTCTCTTACAGGATTTGAACCATGGACCACGGAATTGGATGGCAAGCATCTTATCCACAAAACATAGCTCCACTCCCCTCCACATGTGCAAATCCAATTTTATAAAATCACAAATCACATTAACTAAAAAAGCACATCACATAAAATCGTTCACCATCTAACACCTTGTTTTACAGACTTTAGATATTTGTTCTTCTCATTTATTCATACTATTTCCAACATATTTTTTTTAATTAATCTTCCATTAAAATATTTCATCACTATGATGGATTTACTGTCTTTACAGATCAATAATGAAGCAGCAATTAAATCATTATCATTGGAATATTTTTATGTTCATTACAATTATCAATAATTAATTTACGAAAATCTTACGAAAAAGATATTTATCAATACTGATCGGATACCGTAATAATATATTACACACAGAGCAGGACATAATGAAACAATAAAATAAGATCATTATCAAATTACTAAAATGTATAAAGAAATATTTATAATGATGATCATTTCAAATGTCAACCGCTCCGTTTAAATGTGAACATATCAAAACACTGTACTTCAGCTTAAGGTGTAAAGCAAACGGAACATATACAGTACACCCGTTTTCATCACAAATAATACCAAAATGCTCTGTTAAGCTTCCATCGTTTGTGCAGTGCTTTAACAAAGACATTTTGATTGTGAAAAAAACATTTAAATTGTAAACCCCAAATACGACCTTTACCTCGCACTGGAGGCATTTCTTTGAAAAATATTAACAACAGCAAGACAGAGAAAATTTATACTTAGCCGAAAGAGATGATAAACGAATATAACCAGAAGGAGATGGATTACGTACTTGTTCGCGAGTAGTTTCTTCACTGAAAGAAAAAAAATAAAAAGAGAACATAAATAGTCTGAAATTTGTTGTTGGCTTCTATCAAGCATTAAAATACATGCCTGTTGACAGTGCAATAGCTATTCACCATACAATTAGATTTGAACTTTATGACAATAACTTCTTTAATATACAGAACTACATTCTTCCCGCTGATGTACTGGATAAAGGTTGTGAAATATAGTACAGTAGAACCCCTCATTTACGAACCCCGATTTTACAAATTCCCGATTTTACGAACGTAATATAAAGGTGATGACGTCATAAAAATTGAAGCGAAAGATAAAAAAAAAAAAAAAAAAACCCGCTCGAATTGTACCTGTTATTACCATGCATACAACACAACACACCATACTATACAGTACAGTATAACCCCTCATTTACGTA